TGCTTACATCACCACCAAGAGGACACTGCTGATCTATGGTGACACCGTTTGTTAACACTGGGGGACAAGTGGGACAGCTTGGATGTGTGCATTTACAGGGCATCTCAAGTCCAGAGCCACAGCTGTGCTGATAGTGTCTTGTAGCCAGAGCTCGATATCTCATCTAAGAGCTGTCACGGGGCCCACCACTTCTGCTTCGAGGTATTATCTGGGCTCTGCAGGCTCAGTGGAGCTCCATCTCTCCAGATAGTCTCTAGGGAGTTCTGCAGCCGCAGTGCCGAGCAACTGTCTTCAGTGACTCCCTGGCATCACTTCCTGTCCCCTCTTCACACTTTCCTCAGAGGCTTCTCAGTCACATCCTCATCCTTGTGGTCTCACAGTCTTAATTTCTGGATTGTGATGATGCCGGAGGAACTTCATTTCTGCTGAGCAACTAAGTGCGTGCACTCATCCCCTTCTTGACTTGTGGAAGTCTAGAGCACATGCTGTTGAGTCATGAAATCTGATGAAGCACACCTCACTTCCAGTATGGTGCTATCTGTTATCAAGGAAGGAAGAGCATGAATGTCCGCAGGCTTTCTGCAGCCTGACTGCTGTTCTTCTTGTTTGTAGATAGCCTGTAGTATTTTAACCATTGTGCTGCCTCGTTTTTAACTTGATATGGCCTAGAATCACCTAGGAAGAGTCTCAGTGAGGAATTTTCTAGATCAGGGTGGCCCATGGGCATGTCTGTGAAGGACTGTTTTGATTGTTATTTGAGGTGGACAGACCCACCCTTAATGTGGATGGGGCCATGGTCTGGATCCGGTTCTGAGCTGTGTAAGAGTGAAGAAAGCCAGCAGCATGACAGACTTCATTTCTCTGCTCTCAACTATGGCTGGGATGTCACTAGCTGCTGCAGTTTCTGCCTTGTAAGCCAAACAACCCTTTCTTCTCTCTCTCTCTCTCTCTCTCTCTCTCTCTCTCTCTCTCTCTCTCTCTCTCTCCCCCCCGCCCCACCGTTTTAGCAACACAATCTGAGCCAGAATGCGTCCATGCTGCATGCTCCTCTCATAGGTTCCTCAGAAGGGAATTAATCTACCCCTGTGCTGTCTGTCAAGCCCCAGCCCATGGGATTTCAGAGATAATTCTGCTGCTGAATACTGAAGGAGAGGTTGTTACAGTTTCTGATTAAACCTCAGGAAAGCAGAGAGATGACAGAAGTCCCGAGTCCCCACTGTTTGCCAGGATTAATTAGAAAATCTCCAAGTCAAAAATAAGTCCATTTTAATGACTCCTTTTCATGTAAGTTTACAACAAAATGAAAAACTTCAAACATATATGAAAGGTTCTCATTACCTCTTCAGGATCTGGCACCTACTGTCCTTGTGCCTTCTGCCAGAAATGATTTCTGTCCTCCTGTTTACTGGGATGTGCACCACCCATCAAAGCCCCCAGTGTTATCGTCACTGCTTTCCCATAGGCCTATCTGTGTGTGGAGCTTAACTCCCTGTCAGGCTGTGGACTTGTTGAAGGTAGAGTCTGTCTCATGCCGCCCTATTGCTTCTAAGGCATTTTCATGTATAATTCCAGACTTATAATCTTTTTCATAAAGCTTTGGGTTAAAATGTGGAATTTTATAAAATAGAATAAACATAAAATCTGGTATGTTATCAATGTTATAAATATAGACATAAAAAGAAAAAGAGAAAAACAAATTTGGCATAGTGGTACTATGCCGGTAATCCCAGCTACTTGGGAGGCTGAGGTGAGGGGATCATGAGTTCAAGGTCAGCCTGAAGTATATAGTAAGAGTCCCAAAATAAAATTCAGAGAGCCCTTGCCTAGCATGCATATAATATCTGGTTCAATTCCCAGGACTAGAAAATAAAAGGAGAGAAGAAGAAAATTATACCACATGTATGTTCTCACTGATTTTTATTTTTAATGAAGTATGTCTCTGCTTGTGTGTGTCTCTGTGTGTGTTTGTGTGCATGAGTGAGAGCCAGTGGTGCTTAGAAGAGCTCCAGATGCCCTTGGAGCTGGACTTACAAGCTGATTACAGATGTGCGCTACCTGATGTGGGTGCCGGCAACCAAATTCAGGTCTTTTGCAGAAGCAGTACATGCTCTGACCACTGACCACTCCCACCCCCTCTCACATCTTAAGGAGTGTAAGTACCATTAGGATTGAGACCCACAGCATGTCACCAGAGGAAAACATAGGGTCTTAACTATGGAAAGTCTGTGTCATCCCTTTCTCTCGCTGAGGTCGAATTTGATTTCACATCTCTTGCCGAGTTTTATCTTTATATGTAGTGTTTGCATGCTTGAAAGTCTTCTCAAAATATTAAATAAGTGCAGAAATTGTGCTTTTGAAGAATAATCTCACTGTAGAGGCTGACTTCAAACTTAGCCATTCCTCTGCCTCTGTCCCGAGTGCTGTGCTTTCATACATGCAGCCACTGTGCCAGGCTAGACTAACTTCCAGCACCCAACCTATCAAAGCCATTGGGCTCATAATACATTCTTAGAAGTACTTATCACACATAAAGAATCCAACTTAATTGGAAACACATGCATTTATGAGCTAAGCAGAGCCATTCACCCATGTATGAGTACCATTCACTGCCCACTGTAAGCACCATGCCATGTCTATCTTATTTCATGGTTTTTGTACACATAAATGCTTTGAAAACCTGTTCACATAAATCATAGCCAGGACTAGAAGGTACTTTACTGTAGCACTGTCAATCAGTCCTATGAATTCCTTCCAAGCAATGTGGCGACAATTATCTACTGACTTATTAGAGAAATATTTCCTATCTCTTGTCAGCTATAACGTGAAGTCTTTCATGTTTTTCAAAGCAAAGAGTTGAGAACACATTGTTTGGGGATTTTTTTTTTAAACAGTCATTAGGAGTAATTTACTTTTTCAGCTTCTGAGAATAATACAAAACATCCATTATTAAAAACATATCAACTATTAATTAAACTTGTACTCTAACCTGACATAATCAGAAATTGCAGGGCAAATGAAAATATTAACTGCCCTATGGCTGTCAGTGTAATGTACTATTCAGAAACTGATTTTACAGTACGTGCTTTAAGTATTTCCAATTCTTGGTAACTGCAGACTTGGTTTATGCAATTCTGGGGAAATATCTACCATATCATCTAGCTGGCAAATGCAGCCTTCATTGTCAAAACAGTAAAGTGAATTGGATTTGAAGTGGCTTTTTCTCCATAAAATGCCATACATATTTATTCTAATAAATATAAATATTTCTATTACCTTCACAGCTCTAATCCTTTACAATTATTGTATTTTGTGCACTTATTTGGGGTGTATAAGCGTCTGGGTATGTGTCCCCCTACACATCATAGCACGTGAATGAAGGTCAGAGAACAAATTTATTCGCTAAGCCATCTTGCCTGCTATTTATTTCAGGGGAGCGGGGAGGCATCTTATGGATCCCAGTCTGGCCTCAAAATCTGTATGTAGACACTGGATCTGAGCTTAGCATCCTCCTGCTTCTGCCTCCTCAGTGCTAGGGTCTCAGTCATGCACTGTCATGCTGCCATAGGACGCCTTATCCCTTTCCTAAGATGGGAAGCTCAGGCTTGGAGCCTTATGAACTGCTGCACTGAAGACATAAAGATACACCCCCATATTCTCATCACTCTGCTCTGGGGGACTATTTCTTAGGAGAAATTTCTCTTTGACCATAGTTGGGGTTGAGAAGCACAGGGATGTGAAATGAAATTGGTTACCTGCCCTGCTGCTCTGTGCTGTGATACAGTAGATCTGAATATCAAGTGTCCTAGTGTGGGCTGGTGTAAGTACCCTTATTGCTATTGCTTTGCCCTCAAAAGACTATGGATGGAACAGAATGCTGGGTCTTCCCTGTCTTGACCAATGGACGCCACTTTGAGGTGGCTTGCTTGTTTTGTTCTGTTATTGGTGCCTTATGTTTGGGGAAGAAGACCAGTTCTCAAAACAGATGCATGATATCTCTTTGTTTTTGTGAAGTGGGGTAAATTATCAATGGCAAAAGAGGAAAGAGCTGGCCAATTCCTCACAGGCATATATATAAGGTTTTGGAAGAAGACTTGTAGATGTTACAGATCTGGAAATTGATTTCTTTAAAAGGATCACTGTAATCTTAGTCCCTGTGGGACACTTATGCTCCCTGAATCAAGTGTGCAGCCACCAATATGAAGACCACCACCTCACACCTCTTATTGTCCATAACAGCATGACACGATAGAGTTAGCACTAATATGTTTAGACATTTCTTTCCTTTCAGTGCTCATGAATGCTGGGTAAGTGCTAGGTGACTGAGCTGCATCCTGGCCCAGAGGTTCACCTAGAACCGGCACTAATACACAGTAACTGATCCAGCAAGACAAAGGATATTAAAACTGAAAAAAATGCAAATACAGTAAACTTAAGCAGACACAGCAGTTTATTTTCACTGATGTATTTTTCTTTTACATTTAAAGTTTTTGTTTTTTATTAAAGGTGTATTTGCCTCATAACTAATCTATACATTTCTGATTTGTTCTTCCTATACAGAATATATTAAACTCACTTTACAGTAATAAGACTCCTTAAATAACCTAGTAATTATAGCCATCATTCGTATAATCCTAAAATTCCCTTTGAATAGTATTTGACTTTTGAAGTTCTGTTTGTTATACATTACTATGTGTTACACTATAGCTACCACTATGCTTTATATTATTTTTAAAACTACTTCTAATAACAGTAGAAGTTATAGCTATAACAGAATTGCTGAGATGGGACAAGACCATGGACATCAAACTGTAGGTTTTGAACCCCTCTGGACTTGGTAATGTTGTAAAGTAGTGCATCCTCAGAGATGGCCCTTGGTGTGTAATGTGTATTTAGTGCACAGAATAAATCTCCAGAAGTCGTTAAAGTTATACACAAATACAAAATACTAACATTTATTTATATATTGCCAAAGTAAAACTGTAGCTTTACATTGTTGACAGAAAACACCTCCAAGGCCAGGCTGAGGCTGGAGCAGTGCCAGGATGTGCCCTCGCCTGCTGGAACCTCTCTGCCCCTGTACTTTCCTTCACTCGGGATGAAGGCATGGAAATCTACAGAGGTAGGTTCTCGGGGTCCCTTTGCTGCTGTGCAGGCAACCAACCACGCATGTGAAACCCCACCTTTGCAGCTCTGCCACTGGAGAGTGTCTGCAAAGCTGCCCCAGTGGTCTTGGCATTTGTGGTTTTTGTTATTCAGAATTTTAAGTATCAGTAAGGTAAAATTGTGATGAGTTTTCCTTTATCTTATAGTTAGTGCTGTTCATTTACTTATTAGTTGGTGCTAGGCATGGAACCCAGTGCATGCTGGTCAGTCTACCACTGAGCTACACCCACAGCCTTCAAAAGCCTTTATTGTGATTTTACAGGAAATTGGCAAGAAGTACAGCATCTTAACTGGTTTTCTTGCTCTCTGCAGTGTTGACAATGCCATACATTTAGATAATGACATTTAACCATTTTTATCCTCCTCCCCTTCCTCACCCCTTCCCCCCCCATGGAGCCCTTCTTCTCAGCAAGTCCTGCACAAGATGAGGCCTGACATGTGCTTTGGCAAGTAAATCTGACTAAACTCAGAGGTCACACAACAGAAGACATGAAAGCAGGAGGGGTGTGGCCTCATGGGGCCTCTCCCATCCATGATGAAATGAGTAGATGAATATAATAAATTTATTTAAGAAGTTGATAAACAGGGGGCTGGGCCTACAGCTAAGTGGTACAGAGTGCCTTATGTGCTTGAGGCCCTGGATCCAATCTACAGCACCACACATAGACACATGAGAAGGTGAAATACCTCACAAAACATTATTCAGTCTCACGTGTAATTAGGTAAAACACAATTTTTGTGCCTTTCATGCTGATGAAAAACAATGTTTAATTGCTACCACCTTGTATTTGCACGGAGAAGAAGGGCCCCCCTCCAGCAAGCTGCTGGAAACAAGGATGCAATTTGACACCGTTCCAACTCAAGCCAAGCCCGAGTGAGTGCTCAGACTTGCCACTGTGAACACGCAGCTTGGAAAGGCGGCTCCAGGAAGCTTTTTATTGCAACAGTTGTAATAGATGGAGACAAGAAAAATCCTGAAGTGATTACCAAAGGAAGTGACCAAGTTAATTTACATGTCAGGAATACAGCTCAGCTCTATCTGAGAGAAGCACATTTGTAAGGCAGACCTCAGTGAACGAAGTCATTGTGGGGACAGCACACAGTGAATGATGACCAAGATAGGTTGCTTACTCCTGAAAAGGATATATATATATATATATATATATATATATATATATATATATAATCACTTTAAAAAAAATATGTTGACACAGAAAATTTCCCCCCAAATTCATAAAACAGAGTACTAGTTGCCCCAGTAGAGGAACGCCACGCCTGTGGAGAAGTGAGTAGAAACTTCTTTGCTCCTTACCACTTGTGTTAGTTGGTGTTTTGCAGTGAGTATTTCATAATCTATAAAATAATAATAAAAGCACAAATAAAGACATTAAAGTGGACTTTTGGGTGGAGGCAGTGACAGAGCTGAGACAAGCATGACACGCCAACAGAGTCAGAATAAGTGTAATATCTACTCCTCCAGGAACTCTGATGAGGTCAAAATTTTGCAAATTGGATACATTGCACAGAAATAAACCAAAGGGCAAAATTTGTGTATTCTTCACTTTGCAAAATCTTAAACGGAAGCAGCAGAACACAGACGTTTATCATCCATCACTATTGATGTAGCAGCTCACAAAGACATCGAAGGTTTTGGTCAGCCTTAATTTTGTGTGAGCCACTTCTCGACATCCCTATCAGTTGCTATGGAAACAGCTGCAACCAAAAAAAATCACAACCTTGTTTTTTATTTTCTTAGTGGTCAGGAAAAAAGGAATTTTTGTTTGCTTGTTTTTGAGGTAGTTAAAGCTACAGATAACCTTATTACCAAACTTAATTATTAAAACCTCTGGACAGTATGAAGAAAGAAAATGGATCAGTGTCAATCATAAACACAAAAGGTTTCCTTAGTTTTGAAAGTAATACTCTAGTGACCTCTGTTCTACTTTTGAAAGCTCTGTTCTGCTAAGAATTTTCTTTGTGAGGCTGAGAGATGGCTCAGTCGGTGAGAGCACTTACTGTGTAGTGATGAAGACCTGACTTCAGATCCTGAGTACCCACATAAGAGGGGGACAGTACTGGAGGGAGGGGAAGGGGAGGGAAGGGG